TTGCTACGACCATACCCCAGGAAAGGGGCGTCTAGACAACTTCCAATGTGCCAGGCTAGCTTGCCTCATTGGCCCTTGGTTGGGCTGGACAGCCCAGGCTCTTACTTCTTGCTTGCTCTCTGGCTTCAAACCTTGGGTTCCCCTAGTACGGGGCAATAGGAGGGTGCGGGCCCAAGTGGGCCCGTATGTCACGCGTCACACCGGGCCGTTGCACGGTCTCCGGGAGCCCCAACAGATCATTCCTCCAGGTTAGGAGATGAGTTACTCCTTGGACTGGCAACCCTCCTCAAGCGCTCCAGGGGTCTCAGGCCCGCAGCCCCTGTTGCGGGGCAACTCCCCTCGACCCCCTAAACCGTCGGGCATGACCGCGTAACGGCAGCAATTAACTTCAGTCCAAATGCTTGGACTTTCAAACACAGGGATCTTTTAGCACAAACACAGGGAAAATTCAAAACTTTCTTTTCCCATTAAAAGATGAATTTAATGTAAACATTTTAATTCTTCTTTCTATAGGGAAGAAAGATCATATATCTGAATGAGCATAAATAGTTGCTTTTCAAAGATATTTCCCTTGTATGGAAAGGACCTGTTTCAGGAAAAACTGAAATGTCAATTGAAAGTTCATCTTTTCAATACAGATTTGTATACCTATTTCTTTGTCGCAGAAAGGAAATATTTTTATTTTTTTCACAAAAAAGCTATTTATATTCATGTTTTCATGTCAATGAAAATAAGATCTTTATATCTTTTGCAGAAAGGACATCATTTGTTTCCCCTTTCATACAAGAACAAAGAGCATCTTTCTGAAAAAGTCAGAAAGATGATGTTTCCTTACCCCTTTCATGCAATCAAAAAGCACATCTTTCTCTTTGTCTTGAAAGATGTTCTTTCTATCTGCTAACAAAGGTGCATATAAAAAAGACCTTTCTAAAAATGGCAGAAATATCGTCTTTTATACCACAAATAAAGAGGAATATAAACCACATATTTTTGAAATGAGTAAAAATATATTCTTTATAGTACACAGAAAGGGGTATTCAAAGCCATATGGAAAGGTTAGCTTTTCAATAACTTTTCCATCCCTGTGAAAGATATTCTTTTTGTTCTTACAGAAAGCTTGATAAAGAAGAGTCATTTATGAAATAATGAATATATCATATTTCTTGGTTGAGGAAACATGTATCTAAATATGTACATTCAATACATGTTTAAAAGGGGAAAAGAAATTTTTAAATTTCCCGTGTGAAATATACATTTGGCCAGGGGCCAAACTTGGTATGTGATGTCCTGCCTTATACTATACGAAAGTTATGCATGAAATAGGGGGTAGGAATCTCTTCTGGAGATTGCCAGTTTGGGATTGGAACCAAGATTAGAAGCAGAGAAATTTGCTGCGATCTGTGCACAGGAAGAAAGTTTCTGTATGGGATGAACTGAGCAAAATAGTATGGTAGGTCAAGGTTGAGCAGCCCTGAGAATGCTCCCAGCAGTAGTGTGTTGTCATCACATATGGGAGTGCCTGTTCAGACCAGGGGAATGTGTAGCGTTGACGAGAAATTTGGATTTTGTAACCCTTGTACATCAAATTTTTGTTTGTTGCATAAAAATTTCCTTTGCTGTATGTGCTACAATAGGTCCTAGCTAAATTTGCTGCGAGCTGTGACTGGGACAGGCAGAGAATTTTCGGCCAGGATTCATTATCAGTGAAAATAGTATGGTTGGAGCAGCCCAAGCATGCTCCCATCAATAGCGCAGTGTTATCGAGCCAAATTCCAGGCAAAACCTATATATTTGAATGTCGCGCTGAAGGGCACAGTCTTGGACAATTTCCAGGGCCAGCCAAGTGGCTCAGTGAAGCGATAGATGTCTTCTAGAGTGTAGGGGTAGTGTCCAGTGAATTAAGGATTTGCTGAGTCTGTTTGAAGGTATCGAAAGAAGCAGAAGTCGTCGACCCATTTTTTGAGAGGGCCAATGTTGTTAGATGTAAGAAGCGCGGCCATTGCGTCGGCGATCCTTCCGAATACGCCTGGAGAGCTTGAGGGACCGAAAGGAGCACAGTGGTCGATGTAGCACTTGTCTTTCCACGAGACCACGAAGAATTGCTGCTCTGATGGGTGAATAGGGACTCTTCGAAAGGCGGCGTCAACATCTAAAGTTGCCGCTTGAGTATGTGGAGGTGCGTCCATGACCATGAGCAGCATTTCCGAAAAGGTTCCCCAGTCGCAAGGAAAATCGTCCGAATCGATGGTCGAGTTTATTGATGAAATTTCCGGATTATCATAGGGAAATGAAAAGTCTTGAACCATTCGCCATTTGTTTGGCTCTCCGGCCTTTGGGACAACACCAAGAGGAGAGGATCGGACTGGTCCAATAATTGCTTCCAAACGCCCAACATCAAAGGGACCAGAATAACGGTGGGCAACGAGCTCTGTTCGGATATACTCGTCAATTATAGTAGGGTGTTCAAGTGCAGTACGACGATTAGGAGGAATGAATGATGAAGTTAAGTCCATGTGAATGCCAAAACGAAAGCCTTCTCGAATACCTCGGGGGAATATCGTAAAATTTATCGTACAGCTTTGCAGCATGAAGTTCGGCCTCCCAATGCTCAGGGTTAAACGGGGTGACGACCGGGAGGAAGTCAGACCGCACGGCATTGTTGGGCTGAGTGATCTTCGGAGCCGCAAAGGGAGCAGGCATGACGCCCGAGATGGCAAGGGGGAGGTGTGGTACATCCTTTCTGACCATTGAAATTGAAGCAGTATCGTTGTCCGGACTTGTCGGTGCGAATACCGGTCTGCCGATCGAGTCCGAGAAAGGTAGGGTTTCCTCGAGAGGTTTTCGTTTCGTGACAGTCGGCAGCGCGATGGCCAGGTTCTCGAGAGCCGCACTTGAAGCAGCGAAATCGAATGCGGTTAGTGGTGGGGCTCGGGCCGTTTGGTGTAGGGGAAAAGGAGCGTGTTTCAGCGCCACGAAACGAACGGTTTCGGGATGGGGTGGAGCTATAACGAGATTCGTATGGGTGGAAGGACGAGGTGGGTTGTCTCAACACTCTTTTGCCACTCTCCGAAGTCGAATTTGACGGTTAGGAAGCGACGGCGAAGCTCAGCGTCGTAGGCAGCGAGGACAGGCCAGTGTTCTTCGTGGTTTGGGTAGTCCAAAATACGCTGGTGGTGGATGCAAAGGCGCGGTAAAACCTTTTCCCAAATGGGCAAAGTAGACATGAGGTCGAGAAGACGACGGTAAGCTTGGTGCCAGCGGCCGAGCGAAAGTGTCTTGTCTGCTTCGAAAGAAAGCTCCTTGTTAACAGAGATGAGACTGTCCCCTTCGACCACAAGTTTCCGATCGAGTTCCGAGGACAATGCTGCGGCGCTTCGAGAGCAGTAGTCGTCGGTGAGCAATGAGAGAGGAGGAAGTTCGCCACGTTTAATTCGTTTGACGAGGGCGGGTGGGGCCGGATATGAGATGTTGTCTATCTGCGCGCCAAGCTCGAATTCGATGGTCAAGGTGGACGTAATGCGGTCGTCAGAGTTGGAGAGGGATAGCTGATTTGGAGTGTTTGCCGCTGGAAGGGCATCAGGATATGCTGGACTTGGAAAGAAGGAGAATTGGAGGAGAGAGACAGCAAAAAAAATTTTGCTTCAAAGATGATCCATGCGAGTGCAGAGGGAATTACGAGAGGAGAGGGCCAAGAGTGGCTGGAATCTGTCTTGGAGACGGATGCAGGATATGGAACTGGCCAGCGAATGCAGCGGGCTTTGTGGAGCGTGGTAAACATGGGACTCGGAGTGGGTCATGAAAAGAAGAAGAGAGATGGAAGGGGAGTGAAGGACAAGAATGACATACCGTGATATTGACGAAGCAGGTCATTTAATTGGTCTTTGGTCAGACTGGCCAGCAATGCTCTGGTGGCTGCGTCTTCGTCATCTCCCATGTCCTCCACGCCTAACGGCCTTCTGAAAGCTCCCGAACCAATCCCGCCATCTCCAGAGTTCGCTACATCTTCCAGCTCAGCAGCCTTCTCTGCCGCTAGTTCTGCTGCGAAAGCCTGTTGTGCCCTCGCTGGAACCAGGCGGGTCCATGCAGGCTGAGTGATGATAAGGTCCATGTTGTCTTCAATATAGTCGCCGACTGCTGAACACAGTTCTTCGCGGGATGGGTTTGGTGGTGTGCGAATATGGAAGTGTTGGATGAATCGGAGGAGTTCCCGCTTGTCTAGAGATTTGTAGGTCTTGTTGAAATGAGGAATTGCATCCATTGAGTAAAGGATTGACGCGTTGAAAGAGTGGAAGGATGGTGGCCGTGTGCGAGTGGCCAGGCACAGCTTACTTCAGCAGTCACACTCGCATCACGTCACTCAGCCCAAGACAGCAGACTTCATTCGCAAGCTCACAAGTCTTTCATTGTTATCGAGCAGCCCTGAGAATGCTCCCAGCAGTAGTGTGTTGTCATCACATATGGGAGTGCCTGTTCAGACCAGGGGGTGTGGGTATGCTTTGCAAGCAATTGTGTTTTGTAGCCCTTGGTGATCTATGTTTATTTCTTGGTTGTCACTTCCCTGCCATGGTGGTGGTGCAAGGGTATAGGGCCGAGCGATGGGCCGATGGCACACTGCGCGGGCCCCGCGTCCGTTCGCGGCGGGCCGGGGGCGTTCTGTATTCTGCCTTGAATTTTTAGTGGGCCGGACCGCGCCGCGCGGGCCGGCGCGCGGCCGGGCGGTGACGTAGCCTGATGGCGTTGCTGGATCAGGGACGTTGACGGTTGACGGTTGTCAGGCGCGCGGGATCCGGCGTCGCGCGGTCCTTGGCCTTGGGCCCGGGGCATCGATGGTGTCGGTGGGGGATTGGATTGGAAGTGGAGGTGGTGTAGGTGGGGAGCGCCCGCGGGCGGCACTGTCGCGAGCGGTGGGACGGCGTCTGTGGAGATGACGATCGGGTGGGCCGGCAACCGGGACCGGGGATCAGGGATCGGGGAAAGAAGCGGTACGCATCGCATGGCGCATGTGCTGTATTGCCTCACGCCCACGCCTACGCCCAGCAGGCTTGTCTCCCCACCACCACCACCTCCCTTCTCCTCCGTTTCCTTCTTCGCTGCTCCCGCGCCAGCCGCGCGAGCCTTCGTTATTTGCCATCGTCCATTCGCTGGCCGTCTATCCCGTTCCTCTTTCCTCTATTCTTCTCACGACCCCCACAATGAAGCTCGCCCTTACCCTGCTCGTCGGCGCCGCAGTCGTCTCCGCCGTCCCCGCCCCGGTCAAACGGGGGGTGAACTGCCCCGGCGCGGACAAGGACGGCGCGCGGCTGGCGACGAGCGACACGAGCCGGGACACGCTTGGGAACGTCTTCGCGGTGTGCACGTACTCTGGCGCGGGGCCGTGCACGTACTTCTCTGTGCGTCCCTCTTGCTGTTTTGTCAAATGGAGGGGGGGCTGATGCAGGGTTGCAGGACGGCTCGTTCTCGTCGGGCTCGAGCCAGTGCCCGAAGGGGCTGCCGCAGGATGCAACAGCCGCGGGCTCGGGCGCTTCTTCTTCCGGGATAGGCAGCCAGTCAGGCGGACAAGGGCAGGCGGGCGCCCAGAAAGGATCCATCTCGTGCGTCTCTTGTCAATCTGCCATCCCCCCTCCCCCCATTGGCCCTCCGTCTGTCGCCTGGTCAACAGAGCGCTGATGCATGACAGGGCCGCCGCCAAGTGCCCCGCGGGCGACAAGGCGGGCAGTTCGCTGGCGTCGTCCAGCGTGAGCGAGGATAATCTGGGCAACGCGCTCGTGCAGTGCGACTACCCCAAGGCGGGCGCGTGCACGTATTTCACGGTGCGTTTCCGTTTTTCTCTACTAGGGAAGGGGAGTGCTGAGGGGATTCTCTGGGTAGGACGGCTCGTTCTCCTCGGGATCTAGCGACTGCCCCGTCGGCGTCAACCAGGCCGGGAACGGCGGGAAGCAGACCACCACTACGTGCGTCATCATCTCCTTCCTATACAATGCCTATAATAACTCTATAATAACTGCTCACACAGCCCCCCGCCCGTGCAAACAACTCCTCCCCCCCCCCCCGCCGCCTCCTCCCGCAACCTCTTCCGCCCCGCCCACCACATCCGCTCCGCCCGCCGAATCGTCCTCCGCCCCGCCCACTACTTCCTCGGCACCACCCGCGGAGTCCTCCGCCCCGCCCGCACCCCCGCCGCCGCTGTCGACCGAGATCCAGTTCACGACCGTGATCGTCCCCGCGCCCACCCCGAGCGACAACGGCGGCGGCGTCGCGAACGCGAAGGGCGGGGACCCCGTGGGCGGGCTGTCCGGCGGCGCGCTCGCGGTAGGCCAAGGGGCAGGGAAGAAGGGGAGTGTGTTGGTGGGGAGTTTGGTTTTGGGGGTGGTGCTTGCGCTGTTGTAGTGTGTGGAGTGGAGTGGTATGGATGGTGGATTGAGGACAATGATACTGGACAATACGTGTTTGTACCTACCGTCATGCAGACGATTGTGTACTGTGTTTGCAGCCGTGTACGTGTCGCGCAGGGGTGTGTTCGACCCCGCGGACACTTATGTCGTCGAGCGTGAAAATTGGTAGCTTTGTTTTACTTGCAACGAGAAAGATAATCTTCCAGTCCTACTTAAGCCCTGTGTAGTATGTATGCGGTGTACCTGTCCGCGGGGGCGGCACTCAGATGGACAGTGGACGACACATACGTGTTTGTACCGATACACACCCGGGCGCTCGTGTCTGCTCAGCGCTCAGCCATGGTGCGCTTGTGTCGCGCAGGGGTGCGTTCGATCCCGGCGGCACTTGGAACGGCCTTGCGGATCACTTTTTTTCCCCCTTAGGCCGCGCAACGCGGACGAGGGACAGCGTGACAGATATTGTCTATACTCCTCGTACGGATGCCCCCGTTATTCCGGTCATGTCGCACCGGCACCGTGGCGGTCCAGGTGGGGTGTGTTCGATCGACCCCGTGGGCATTTGGGATTTGATCATGATGGAGTCGACGTCTTTTTTTCCACAGGGCACGCCCTTGTGTCCGGGGTCCGTGCCGTCTATGTGCGACGCCGCCGCCCGCGGACTATGCGCGCTCATACCTCCTGCCATGCAGACGACTGTGTACTGTGTTTGCGGCCGTGTCGCGTGTCGCGGCGGGGTGCGTTCGACGGGCCCGGAGGCACTTATCATAAGGGCAAAAATATTTCGCCGCTTCTGGGGTGGGCGGCTCGGAGGCGGCTGGTGGGCGGCTCCACGAATGTTCTGTAGACAATATCTTTGTAAGTACTTCACATAATGACAACATTCTTGGGGCGTTCGATAGCCCCCGACGAGCCCCTTTCGAACGCGCCACCGAGCGGCTCGAACGGTGGCTTCGTTGTCGAGCATCGCCCTTGGACTTTTTGGGTGGGCGGCTCGGACGCGGCGGTGGGCGGCTTTTTGCCTGAATTTCGCCGCCCTCTTTTTGTGGTGGGCGGCTCGTGGCAGTGCTGCCGCGGCTGTGGGCGGCTCTCGCACAACTGAGTGCGGCTCTCGTGTGACAGGGGCAAAAATATTTCGCCGCTCTTAGGGTGGGCGGCTCGGAAGCGGCTGGTAGGCGGCTCTGCGGAAAATGAGTAGACAATATCTTTGTCATTACTTGACATAATAACGACATGCCTGCGCCGTTCGATAGCCCCCGACGAGCCCTTTCGAACGCGCTATCAAGGGGCTCGAATGGTGGCTTCGTCGTCGAGCAATGGCCTTAGACTTTTTGGGTGGGCGGCTCGGACGCGGCGGTAGGCGGCTTTCTGCCTGGTTTTCGCCGCCCTCTTTTTGCGGTGGGCGGCTCGTGGCAGTGCTGCGGCGGCTGTGGGCGGCTCTTGCACAATTGAGCGCGGCTCTTGTGTGACAGAGGGCGGCTCCCACCCAAACCAGGTGGGCGGCGATGAACACGGCCGCCCACCCCAGTAAGCGGCAGCTGCGGCCCCGCTCTCTTCCATTGACCTCACTCCTCGTCACCACAAGGCCGTCGCCTTCATCGCTGGCCACTTCTCCGGGTCGTGAACGCATGTTGCGTTGCCCGGGCCGTCGTCGTCGCCACCATCAACGTTCGCCGGCGGCGTCGACGCTGACAGATGATCCATCGATGATGAGTCATTCTCATCACCGCATCTTGTCTTCGCTCCACCACCTTCACGAGCGTCATTTTGGCTGCCAACAACAACGTCAGTGCCTACAGCACAGGGCCGCCCGCCGCCGCCGCAGCTTGGTGAGCGGCCCGGTGAACCGTGACTAGTGCTCGACGCTTCTCGTCAACAACGCCACCGCGCACTCCTGTTCCTAGCAAAACTCACAACGGAGTCATCCATCTGTGTTCGCTGGTGTCTATGGTTCGGCAAGCTGGCTCTCACCATAATCTATGGCGGCGAATGGTGCGCGGCCCAGTCTGGCAGTGACTCGGAGCAGCTCGGCGAGCAGTGCGCGACGCGGGAAGGGCAACGATGGCTAGTACGCCACTAAGTGGCAGCTGCATCGACCTACGTCCCCGTTGTCACGCGGTGTGGTGTCCAGCGCATATGACCGCCGCGCCGCGCCGTCTTCACCGCACTCGTCCTCGCTGCTGGTTTGGCAACGTGCTCAGCAGGGGAGCAGGCTTCCCTGGTATACGGACTTTCTCGTGCGCGTCAAGTCAAGCTGTGCTGTGGTCGTGTCCACCCGCAATGCAGACCCGGATCTCCGCCTTTGCGCGGCCGCTCCCCTAGGCAACGTCCCGGGCCCCTGGGGACATCCCGAATGGTGGGCGGCAGCATGACGTGGGTTGGGCGGCTAGGTAGGCGGCTTGGAATTGGTGGGCGGCTCGGTGGGCGGCCTGGAATTAGCGAGGGCACGCTTTCTGGGTGAGCGGCGGATACTAAGCGGCAGCTGCATTTTCTTGCATCGACTTACGTCGTCGTCGTTACGACCACCGCGCCTCTTATCCGCGCTCCTCCTCACTGCTGGCTGGGCAACATGATTAGCGGAAGAGGACGCTGCCCAAGCATACAAGCTGTACTGTGGTGGTCTGCTCGCGGCACTGCAGACCCGGATCTGGAGATGGTCTGCTGGCTGACAGGACTCCAAGTCGTAGATGCCACTCGAATCCTAGATGTTCTCAACGAGCGGTGTTCTCGAACGCAACACAGAGAAACTCCCCCGGGGCTTCCTGAATCCTGAACTGCGAGTATCCTTGCGCACCGTCAACGACACCCTCCAAGCTCCCGCGTGCCCACAACCCGCCTGCCATGGACGCAGAGCCCACCGTCTCAGTGTGTGACGCATACCGCACTATGAAAACGGCTACCGGGAAGGCTCGATGGCAACGGCGCAAAAAGCGGCGGCTGCGACTCCCTTGCATCGACCTATGCCCTCGTTCGGAGTCGTCATCGCGCGACGTGGTGTCCAGCTCACATGAATGCTGCGCCCGCCGTCTTCGGCGCGCTCGTCCTCGCTGCTGGTTGGGCGATGTACTGTGGCCGCTTCCACGGGGCCTCAATCATCCTTGGCCCGGGCCCCGGTCTCGTTGGCCCACGACTCCTACTTGGGCCAGCTTCGGCAAAAGACGCTGGCGCTGGGCAGTGGCCCGGACTCGAACAGCCTCGATTAATCGACACGCTTTTGGCGGAATGGAACTGGGCATATGAATGATGAACGGCTTGGTACGGGGCTTGCGGTAGTGTGCGACGGTGCGCGTTAAGCACTGGCAGTTGCTCCCCTCACCAAATTGGTGGTGTCGATGACCTAAAATAGCCACTGTGAAACGAAGACTACAGCTGTTAGAGTAACATCTTCGCTGTTGTGTAGGATATATAAAAGGCTATTTATCCCTCTCAAAATTCCAGATTATTTTTCTGCAAAAATCAGTGCCGCCCACCCTTGCGCGGCTCGGTACAGCAGCGCGCCGCAGGAAGCCAGGGGCCGTGAAAAAGTGCAGTATTACACTGTGGCGTCATTGGGTGCCCTACCCGCTCACAGGCATCCATGTTTAGCGCAGTTTGGATGTCCTGTGGTGACGGAGAGAGGTGGTGAAGACTTTGTGTTGGAGGGCAGCTAACACATTAACTGGTTGAATTCTTCAGTCTTACTGAGCATATTGCTTCAGTAAGAGTCCTATATAACAATATTGTACACCAGTCATATCAATTCCTGGGCTACATACCAAGAGTAAACAATCCCTAGAAAATATTGACATTACTTAGAATGGAAATAGCAGCACAATGACGACAAATTATGTGTTGGGGTCTTCACTACGATGTACAGAACACCCAAGAGTATGCAATCCAACAAAAAACCCAAAACCTTAAAATCGAGCACTTCGCCGCCCACCCTGGGCGGCGCCTCTGGGCGGCACGCTAACATGGCCGCCGCGGCCCTGAAGGCAACAGAGACGACGCCAGCTGTCAGAGTGAGTGTCTGGCACGCAGATCTATCGTCTAGTGCTGCATAACTGCAAGGAATGACACTTGGCGCCAACGCCAGTAGCGTTGATCGACGACGGTGGGCGGCGAAGTACATGATGACGTCAGATCATGTACTTCGCCGCCCACCCGCCGCCCACCTACTGGTGTGACTGCCGCGGCAGCGTGACAAAGGTGGGCGGCGATGGGGCTAGGTGACGCGGCGGTGGGCGGCTGGTGGGCGGCGGAGGGCGGCGAAATATATCTGCCCGTGTGACAGAGGGCGGCTCTCAGCCAAGCGAGGAGGGCGGCGATGAACTTGAACACGGCCGCCCACCCCAGTAAGCGGCAGCTGCGGCGCCGCTCTCTTCCCTCGACCTCACTCCTAGTCACCACAAGGCCGTCGCCTTCGTCGCTGGCCACTTCTCCGGGTCGTGAACGCATGTTGCGTTGCGCTCGCCGTCGTCGTCATCGCCATCAATGTTCGCCGGCGGCGTCGACACTGGCGGCTGACAGATGATGAGTCATCACTGCATCTTGCCTCCGCTCCACCACCATTCCGACATGCCCCCGGCCACGGCCCCCCTGTGACTTCAAGAACCCAACGTCGGTGCCCTCACACAAACCCAAAGCACATGGCCGCCCGCCGCTGCTGCACTGCGCAGCTTCAAGTTGGTACGCGGCTTGATGAGCGGCTCGGCTGCTCCCCGTGCGACTCGCCGGTCGAGGACGGACCCGCATTCTCGACATATCTTGTTACTTCACGCGACTCCCTCCGACTACCTTGGGACATCCCGGCCCGGCCCGCGAGCATCGCCGATCGCGCACCGTCGACTCCACCGTGGCCCTCCGGGCCGTGCATCCTGTGCAACGCTCCGGGTGAGTGGCGATGGACTCTGCAGCTTGGCTCTGCTCCACCACCGCCACGACCACCAAGCGAAAGTGCGCCGCGTGCCGGGCCCGCGTGCGTTTCTGCCTTCACAGGACTTGACCAATGTCTCCAACAACAACCTCGGCAAGGGGGTTCAAGTCTCGAATCATGGATATAGGGTCGGAAAGTTTTTTTCCGACCCCTGGGGACCCCCCCCCCTGCCATATTGGGTAATATGTTCCCACGATTTGCATCATGTGACCACTGATGCGATCAAAAAGTGGGATAAAAAATTCAA